TGCTAAGAGACATGGGCTATGCTGCTTTCCCTCACCGTGACACTGATGATTAACTATCCTCTTCCCCTTCTTCAAATCTTTCAGACCGCCATGAAACGTTTTTGACAAAGTCTCATCAAAAATAATGCTATTCCCTTTTAAAATAACATTATTGTATCTTAATTGCCTATGCTCGTTTGATCTTAGCCCAAAAAGCTTTCCATTATAAAAATACATAGTATTTAAAAGACTTTCTGCACTATTGTTACCTAACAACTTTAGTTTCCAAAACAATGCCTCTTCCTCCTCTGTGATGTTTTCTCGAGGTTCTTTCTGGGTTGCTTGAGTAACACCGAGTTTGGTGGCCTCTCTCATTTCGGCGTCGAGTGCTTTATGAAATGTACAAAATCTTAAAATTGTAAAAGAAATAATGATGAATATGACTAAACATTCCATGGTGTCTCTATTTTTAGTTACTTTTAGTTACAAAAAATCAAACAACAATTACCTTCGATCATTCTTGTTAAGGAAGTTGACTGAATTCTCGGCATTTACGTTTTGAAGATGTCTGTTAATGCCCGAGACAATTACATAGAGAGATTTCGGCGGATATCTTCCGCCACTCTTATTTGCAACCTCACCAATAAACTTAGTAAGCCAGAAATTCAATGTGCTTGGCGTCATTTCTGTTAGGTCGACATTTAGATCTTGTACATCGTCAATGTTACACTTGAAGCCAAAACCCTCATTTTTTGCACATTTGTTTGCTCGGGAATGCTGCCATTGGTTAAATATCTTAACACTCCATTTTGTTGTGTTTCTAGTGTTTGATGGTATAGTTTCTCGCAGCCAGGCTTCTTCTTCGTCTTTAGCTTTTGGATTTCTGAAGTTYGCCATGCTCTCTTTCTCGCTTAAAGTGAACGATAAACTGAAGTCGAAAACTGCATGTAGCGTGGTCCCGTGTAGAAGAAAACAATAAMTGCTTCATTAGCAAACCATGGATTACATAACCCCATTGTAGGACGGATTTGATGTAACAAAGATTAGTTTAAGTCCATTTGTTTCATTAGTACATAACAAAGGATCCTTATGCAAAAATAAAATGGCTTTTATATTATGTCTTTTGTATTACGTTTAACGAGCTGTATTTTTGCTATTGTTAACTAGAAAAAATAACGCAAATAACAAATAACAGCTTAATGTACTAATGATGGATATCATAAGTCATATACAATATTCGCGTCCGATCTGTATTGGGGATACAATGCCTCGCCTTCGGCTCGCCATTGTATCTCCCAATACAGATCGGCCGCTCATATTGTATATATTACTTAACATTCAATGACCCACGACTTCAGATCAATTAAAATACAATATTCAATTTTATCTTTTAGTTTTTAGTAGATTATRAATGTATACACATAAACGTTTCACAAGTAATTTACAACATTCTCGTCCGTGTTGTATGGGCTTTACAATTTCTCGCCTTCGGCTCGAGATTGTAAAATCCCATACAACACGGCCGCTCATGCTGTAAACATTACTTATAATACATTATAAACATTTGGACATGCAAATATTGCACGCTTGCTATGACTAATAATTAATTAAGCTTACTGACATATGTATACAAACTCCTAGCTTTACAGTTATTGAATTGAGCTTGGTTTATATATATGCAGCCCATAGGTTTGGACTATTTGCTATGGAGATGATGAATAACTTACAGACGRATCCATCATAAAATAATTTTTCCTTCATGGCAGCCTTTTCATCATCAAAATGGGACAAAATGAATGCTTTATTAGCTTGAGCCCCATCACAGACACCAAGATGGAGCATGAACTCCCTTTCTTGTAATGCGCACACAATGTCCCAGATGGTAGAGGGTGATTGGGTCGACTTGGGCTGTTGAATGGTATGCGGGGAACTCAAATCCCTCTATTCCAACAAAGGTAAATTGTAATATGTGGGTTGCCAGCTCTGCTTGGATCTTTCCATCCATTATATATATAAAATCATCAAATAATTGATTTCAAATATTATTTAATTGATTAAATGAATGGTTTTAAAACAAATATATAAGATATTACCAGTTGAGAAAGATCTCATTTTATCATGCATGTCTCCCATCCTCACAAGTACACACATCTCAAATGTATCACCAATCTTTCTTAGTTGTAGATCACCCTTAATAGAATAAGATAACATGTCTATTTTTCTGCAAAATTCTGCATATATAGTATTTATACATTGCAGGAATGTAGATCTACACTTGTCATGCCTTTTTTCTAGGCTACTTTGGTAGTCAAAGAAAAATCATAATATTTCAATAGTGAATTGTTTGATGATAATTTTTAATTTGTTAGAAACTTATAAATTTCATTGTTTTTGTGGATCCTGAATTTTATGGTGAATTATCATTGAAGTTAAGAATTAATAATTATGTTACAATTAATATTTAGGACAGGTACATCATGACATGAATCCACATACTTGAATAGACATTTCATCAAACATTAGATAGCCATTTCTTCCTGCTTGGGTTATTTTGTCGCTAATTGCTTGTGGTCGAGATGTTCCTTTTTTATTCCAGGTGTCTGTGAGACTTTGTTTTTTTTATTTTGAGAAGGTATCTTCCTGGAAAAACAGTAATATTTCTGCTACTGCTACTCTACTCTGTTATATCTGATTTATTASTTTGTATATTCCTAAACCTTCTCCCTATGCCTCAAAATTATAGACCAATAAATTACCTAGTATCATATTGCCTTCTAGTTACAGTATGTATATGAAATTTATATAAATATTTAACTTATTTTAATCATAAGATACCAGAGTGTAGCCCTTTGGTATATTCGGTATATCGATATATAATTAAAAACATGATTATTCCTGATRGGAGTTTTATGAAACCACTGTCACTGAATTCCTTGTACCCCTCTTTGTTTCTCTGCCAGAGGCGAAGGCAAACCTCAAGAAACCCTAAAGCCATATTTCATAAATCTTATTAGGAATAATGTTACACTCCACGATTATAGCAATTATTTCAATAATCTCATATTCAATAGTATTGCCACGACCATGCAAACATTACTTCTTATATTACTTGAATTTTAAAAAGTTTATCAATTATACACACAGAATACACACTGCATGACAAATTTTTAGTCTGTAGTCTTTGTCGATGAAATAATTAAATGATTAAATTATAATTAAAAAGGTATCAATAATTACGCAAATAAAAATATAAGCAAATAAAAGTGCATATTGCATTTACAATAATATTGACAAATACCTTGGGTGCCATAAGGCTTTACCAGACTTGGTAATTTCTCTTTGCATCTTCCAGACAAATTGGTCCTCATCCTTAGATGGCTCAGAATCAATCCAATTGTAAGTTCATTATCATCATTTTTTTATGTGCACTGCATTTTCTGACTCGTGACCTGGCCTAGGGCCTCATGTTTTTTTGCTTTTTTTTTAATTAGACTAATCCATTTTTATTTACAATTAATGAGTGTTACTCTACCGGTAACACTCTAGATTTTTTTTATAAATGTGTATGATTTTACGCCATATATTTTAAAAATGTTTACATAGTTTTTAGATTTTTTTTCCCTTCTACCCTCCCTTTCCACCCCCATTCCCAATCTTCTTCCACACATCACAAAAAAGTTAAATTAAATTCATTAGTAAAAAAGTCTAGTTATATATTTGAATTAATGGAATAATGGCTTTCCACTTTTTGAAGTGTAAAGAAAGTATATTTTTCTGACAGTCAATCGAATATTCTAAGTTGTAAACGTATTTAACTCTATTCCAAAAAAACACTTATTCTTTGAGCAGGTCTAATACCTTTTGATCTACAGAAATAGATATATCGTTTTTCCATTATAATAATAAAATTAGTAATCATATTTTCTCCTTCAGTGAAGTAGCCTATTAAAATTTCCAGCTCTGTGAAGGGTTTTTCTATCAAGTTTAAAGAAGTCAAGGTATTTTCTATCACATTCCAGAACATTTTGATAAAATCACATCTAAAGAGCAAGTGTTCTAGTGTYTCATCTCCTGTCACGCAAAAAGTGCATACGGAAGATTCCACTTTCTTAAATTTCTTTAACATATAGTTACCATATAATATTCGATGTAAAACTTTCCATTGAAATTCTCTATGTTTTGCATCTATAGTCAATAAAAAAGGTAGTGAATAGATCTTATTCCAATCAAAGTGAGTGTCCGGATATATTTTTTGAAACATATCTTGTGCTGTTGGGACTTCTCCTATTTTGTCAATTAATGCATTGTAYACCAATTATAGTTATGATTTTCTAAATTTAAGAAGAATTTATTGTTKTTTTCGCCATTCTCATACCAATTAATTCGGGACCTCACAATGCAACCCTTTACTATATGATCTAGTTCTGAATCATAAGCTAATTTAATCTCTTCCATTGCCGCGTAATTGTTTTGTGATGGATTCGTCTCACRTACCTTCTCATACATTTCTATTTGTTTGTGTAAATTGTCCATTCGACACCTTCGCTCAGCCGCTTTATTCTGTATTTCACGAGGTCCCAAAGGACTCTCTTATCAGACACATCTTCAAATTCCTTCAACCAGTCAATATATTCTCTTTTTATTAGTCTTGAATAGTTTTCATCACTTAGAAGGCTAGTGTTAAATTTCCAGTAGTATGGACCTCGGTTTGATTGAGGGACACTATTTATTTTTAAGATAATTGCTGAGTGATCTGATAGAATCGCAGGCAAAATATCAGTTTTTTCTATATCTTCTTGAATTACGTCACTTACAAGCCAATAGTCTAATCGTCTTTGTCGCAAAGATGTTTTTTGTCTTCAGGTGAACCTTTTATATTCTGGATTCCTAAGCCTCCATATATCTACTAAGTTGAAATCAATCATAGTTTTTTCTATTTCCTTAACAGATCTTTTGATGGGCGCTGACTCATTATCGCTGTCTAGTTTTTGATTCAAGTGCRCATTGTAGTCGCCTCCTATGTGGAATTTCATTATCATTGTCTGACATACTTTCAATTAGTTTCTTTAAGTTTGTAAAGAATGGTACTTGCTCTTTCTCTTTGTTTGGTGCGTATATGTTAACTAGTAGAAAAGTGTTTATTGTACAATAGCTTTTAAAATTACATACCGCCCATTAACATCTATGTCTTTCGTCTAGCGTTGCGCCTCYGTTTCTGCTTCGAAAGCCCATCTGGAACACGACATCTATCTGCTCCTCTTCGCCAGCTAGTCCCCAAATGGTATTGATGCAGCGGACAAATTGTAAGCTCAGCTAAAATGTCGGTGGTTTTGAAAATATTGACGCTCGTGCTAAAATGAGCTCGGCCGATATCTCGTTTGCATAATGCTAATGGAATGTTGTCTGTATTACGAGGATACTTGGTATCAAGGCCACAAGGAGCACCAACTAACTTTAAAATGAACACTTATTTTACATACTAGTCGAGCATGCTGACCTTGTCCTTTGCGAATTTGGAGAGCAATACTATATGCGAAACTGGCGTATCACTTTACTTTACGTCATGTGCCACTTCTGTCACGGAAATTACCCAAATGTCCAGCGGTCTTTTTATTGTTACTGAGATTATACACCAACAGGCGTCCAATTTGCTTCTGAAAGCGAAATAGAGATAATGTTTTCACCATAAATGTTGCTGTGATGCAGCGTTTGGTATCGTAGATGGAAATAAGTGGTTTTTAAAAAGTGGTTTAAGTTTTTATATCTCTCTCCGGCCTATAAAGGTTAATATTAGCGTGACGCTTGTTGACAGATGAAAGCCGATTAGTAACAAGATATTGTCATTTTTGAGAGCCCAAATTCTTTGTGTTTTCAAAGATTTTGATATCGCTGTTTAG